TTGAAAATATGTGTATCGATAAAATTATAAAAAAATGTCGATATGTTTAAATATAAATAAGTATAACTCAATTAAAAAATGTAAGTTGAAGAAAATGTATAATTTTCTGTTTCTTTTTACCTGTATGTTTATAAATTTTAAAAAATTTAATGTTAAACAAATTATACATAAGGCGCTCACTCTAAAATGCTCACCTCCGTTTTTCTTTTAATTATTAATTTATTCGAATTCAGTTTTTGAAATTTTTAAAAATACTCAACTTAGGAAGTGTCCTGTCGTGATACAAATTTCTCTTTTTCAAACAAAAGCCACTTTTTTTTTGTAAATTACCTATTTATTATTTAGACTTAAGAGAATATTTTTTTTGGTAATGCTGAGGTATTTGATACAAAATTCGAACGAGTAGTACTCAGTTATTAAAATGTTTTATTAAGGATGTTGGTCCTTAAAAACGGTTTTATAAAAATATTATATTATTATATAAGTAATAAGTATATTATAAGTATAATGGATTTAATATTTATTATTGTACTTAGACAATTTTCACAAATTAACAATGTTGATGTACTATTAATCACTAAAAATATCAAGCTACCATAGCCTCCTTAGCCCTGCATTTGGGGTTCCGTATCTGGGGGAGGGCCCCCTTTGAAATTAATTTCCAATTACGGTCTTGGTCCATACATTCGAAACTCATTATCATAGACTTATTACCTTTAGTAAGTAAGTATAGTAAGTATAGTAAATTTGTTCAAATTTTGATTTTGATATGTTAATATTTTCTTAAAAATTGTTCACTAAACAATTTACAGAAAAAAGGAGGGTTTTCTGTCAAAAAATAGAATTTGTATCTCATAGGGTACTTATTATATAATACAAAATATCTCAAGATTTTGAAAATATGGTTTCTCGGTAAATCACCCTGTATAGAAACTTCGTGAATCAAATACGAACTTAGCTTAGTTGGTATACGTATTAGCTCTTATTATTATAATGTACCTATAATGTAATTTATATTATGTTATTGAATTATTTTAAAATAAATAAAAAAATACTTCATTACATATTGTATGTACATTGCACTTACGTACACAAAAGATAATCAGTATTCTGTATACTGTTTATCTAAACCATAAATGATGTATGTATAAGAACATGATGTATATAATATTGAATGATGTATTGTACAATGAAATTTCATTTGATCATAAAAATAATTTATGATATATTTTTATAGGAAAATATATTGAACATAGGGATTTAGTTCACGTTTTGGTAAAGAATTAGTTTAATTAATACATTTTTCACATATTTAACCTTTATAAATACACAATCATACGAGATATAATATTTAATGAAATATAAATTTACTATAATATTAAACAGTGAACAATTGTGCTTTTAATATAAACATAACGTCATCATTTATGACTAACTATTGCTTCGCATTTGTTTATTTCAATATCAGTTAACGCTAAAATATGATAAGTTTGTGTGTACATTGCATATCGCGACGTGCCAAAAATACTACCTAGCCTATAATATATATTACATTTAATAATTTAAAAAAAGGAATCTACAAAGAAATGGTGTTTGTTATAATTCTACTGTTTCAGGTCATTGGTACTTTTATAGTTATCAGTTTCAGTACACCCATATTTACAGCAGTGATTATTCCTACAATTATAATTTATTACATAATACAGGTAGTTAATTATAATATTTTTCAAACACTGGAAAATTGTTTTTAGACTGAATTGATATTTTGACTTTTATTTACAGAGATTTTACATTGCGACAGCACGTCAACTGAAGAGACTCGAGTCTATATCTCGTTCCCCAATTTATTCTCATTTTAGCGAAACGATTACAGGAGCTACATCGATACGCGCTTATGGCGTAGAATCCAAATTTATACTTCAATCTGAACAAAAATTAGATTTCAATCAGTCTAGTTACTATCCAAATATCATGGCCAATAGGTATAATATAAGTGGTTATATTAAAAGAATATTCACAGTTAAATCATATCTGCTTTGAGTTTATTAATTTCCTTGAAATAATTTTAGATGGCTAGCTGTAAGATTGGAGACTATTGGTAATTTTATAATTTTCTTCTCGGCATTGTTTTCGGTTATGGAAAGAGATACGTTAAGTCCTGGTATTGTTGGTTTGTCTGTCGGATGTGCTCTACAGGTATGCATTTATTTTATTTAAAAAAAAAACAGACAGTGTTCTTCAATATCATTTTATCCTAATAAGATCACACAAACGCTCAATTGGATGGTTCTTATTACTTCTCAAATCGAAACCAATATTGTGTCAGTAGAACGTATTAAAGAGTACGACGAAACACCACAAGTAATATATTATTCAAATAATATTTGCTTGAATTTATTAACTTCAATAATTGTACACACATAAATACAAATATAATTTTAGGAAGCTCCGTGGGAAGTGCCATCAACTCAGCCATCCAGAGAATGGCCAACTAGCGGAGAAGTTCAATTTAAGAACCTTAAAGTTCGTTATCGTGAAGGTTTAGATTTAGTACTGAAAGGTTTAGATTTATTAGTGGAAGGTGGCAAAAAGGTAATTATAAGAAATGTGCCTCTAACATCACGTTACTAATTGGAACTATTTAGGTGGGAATTGTAGGGCGTACAGGAGCTGGAAAATCGTCTTTGACTCTTAGTTTGTTCCGTATCGTCGAAGCTGCCGAAGGATCAATTTTTATCGATGGCGTTGACATATCAAAAATTGGATTGCATACGTTGCGTAACCGCCTTACAATTATTCCACAGGTAATCAGACATTATCTATTGGTTGAGTAAATATACCCAATAAATTAAATTTATTCGATAGGATCCAGTATTGTTTTCCGGTACATTGAGAATGAATTTGGATCCAACAAATATTCATACGGACGCACAGCTGTGGAGCGCCTTAACACTTGCCCATTTAAAACCACATGTCGTAGGGCTGGCTGGTGGTTTGGATTATGAAGTGACCGAAGGAGGAGAAAATCTTAGGTACCTAATTATAATAAATAGTCAATAAAATCTTTATTTTTAATTTTAAAACGGAGCCCTGCTCGGGGATGTTAATAGATAATAATGAAAAGAAAATTATAATAAATTCTCGTGAAGAGTCTTCGAACGGTCGGAATCTTCTTCTTTACATTACATTTTTTTTTTTTTGAACTTAAGCTCACTGACTAAGGCTGTTGTAGGGGTGATGAACTGTGGTAGGGGAAAGGTTGGTATGGTAGGTTGTTTTTTTTACAATTGTTACGGTTGTTACGGTAGGTAGCAAACACGTGTATGTGTGGGAAGGTTTTTAACTACTATGAACCCGGATGGTCACCCATCCGGTAGCTAGTAGCGGTGGCTTTACTTACTCCCAGTCACGTTCCGTGACTGGTAGTAGCCAACGTGCCACGCCAAGCCACTTCTTTAAATTAATGGACAGTGTTATACCAGTATTTAAACTGCAGTACATGACAGTGTAAAAGTTGAGTAAATGTACTGTAGTAAAATTATTGAAATACTTTTTAAGAACTCAAATACTAATTTTCAAATTCTTAAACTTATATATTTTCTAATTTAATTTTTATCACGTAAAATAAATGATAAAACAAAATTGAGAATTTATAGTAATATATATTTATTTGCTGTGATTTTATCATACTTAACTGAAAACTCAAGTATTTTTATTTTTTACAAGCAAAGTAGAAGAGTATTTTATAGTTAAACCAAATGATATGGTGTGAACTGTTCTATAATATTAAAGTAAAATATGAAAGTTGGTTTAATGTTAATTGACAATATATTAGTATGCTCTATTTTCTCATTAACTATTGTGCTTTAGTGTGGGCCAAAGACAATTGGTGTGTTTGGCTAGAGCATTGTTAAAGAAGACAAAAATATTGGTGTTGGACGAAGCGACAGCGGCAGTCGATTTGGTCATTTGGAAACAGACGATCTCATACAAAAAACTATACGAACGGAATTCAAAGACTGCACTGTGTTGACGATCGCCCATCGTCTGAACACTATAATGGATTCTGACAAGTACTAAACAAAATGACGTTTAATTGACATTTTGGGTTTAATAAATATTTTGAATTCGTTGTTTCCGTATAGAGTAATTGTTTTGTACAATGGTTTCATGATCGAATACGATTCACCTGCCAATTTGCTCCAAGACAAATCCTCTGTTTTCTATTCGATGGCAAAAGACGCAGGTCTTGCGCAGTAACGATGATGTTCGGAAGATGGTGCAGTACTTAGGTTCTTATCGCCTAGACTTGATTTTTCTAAAAATGTCGTAATATCTCTACAGCTAATTCATTAAAATGTCATATATAATTTTTTGTCAAATAACCGTAAATAACAATTATTTCGAACGAAATTTCCGCCTAACTCTCACTGCAGGGCGCTAAAATTTGAAATCGGCCTGTGTTCCACTACCAATCTCCCGTAAAGCATCGATCTGTCATTTTTGTTCGTTTTAAAATGATTACAATATGATTTCGTTATATTTTTCCTCCAGTCTGGCGGTCATAAGACTATTGTATAGAATAAATATTATTATCAGTGATTGGTACATGCCACGTTCTTTGTGAACGAATTGTTTTCCTGATTTAAATTTTGTTTGTTTTAATTTTCCGTAATAGGCCGTCCGCTCGTATATCGAATACGTACCATTGTTCGCGGTATTTTATTAGTGTAGGTATGTATATTGTGTATATTATTATTTATTAATTAATTTGTTGTTAATTATTTCTTGTACTTGCGGTACAAAATAGTCACGTACCTATTATACGGTACAAAATAATAACCAGTATCTTAAGTTACATACACAACAACTGATATTTTTCCATCGTCAAACAAAATACAAGTTATGTAATATCATCATATTTTATGCAAATAAATACATTTTTTAAAGTATTTTTTTTATGTTTTAGTCACCTTTTTATTTCGAAAAGTTGACACTGTACAATTTTTACTTTTTACTTTCTGAAAGTCCGACTTGATTGACCATTGAATCATTTTATCTACAGAAAAAAATCCTTCATTAAAAACATATAACCAATGTATTCATCGACGCACCGTTTGAAATCCAATAACGTATACAAATATAAATTATAATACATGTAACTTTATTTAAACACCTTAATGAAAGAAAAAATTTAAAACATTGTCAATAATTATCATTATTGTAAAATATCTTACTTAGATTTGACGATAAGTGTATAATATCTTTTTATTTTATGCTAAAATCCAGTGGGAAATAAATTAGATATACGCGGAACAAATACCTAAGGGTTTTTTTTATGTTGCCCGTAAGTGAAAATATGACTGTAAATGTTGGCGTCCTCTTTGTTGTCAATTTTATGATTTCTATTAAAATGCATATAATGTAATAATGAATACATTTTTGTTTTAATTACATATTGTGTTAACTGTTGATTTTAACTTTGAAGTACTTTTAACATTTTTTATTAAATAAATAAGAAGTAATTTGAACATTAAACATATTATTATAAACTGTACGTGCATCGTATGTGTATAAATTAAATAATATAACTCTCCAATTGAAAATTAATAATATCGAGCCATTTAAGCGTAATTGTTATTAAATGCCTAAATTTAAAGTAATAGGTAATTCATATTATCCTACACACTTATGTGTATATCGTAATTAAATACAAATATTTGTATTTATATTTTAATTTATTGAAACGTATAATGCGTTATACAATATATTAAATATTAGTTAAAGATCCATGCATTAAATAAATATTTAAATAATCGTGTAAGACTTATAAAGTATACCTATTGGTGGCTTGGGGTTTGGTATCATACAAATGTGTTCCGAGTGCCAGCACCACTATTTTCCGGAGGCTTTTGGTGACAAATCCTTGCAACACACAAGATGTGTTCCAAACCAACCTTTCACTCTGTTACAGTAAAAACTAGCTAATAACCATGCAGTTGATGCCTTAAAAATAAAGTGTACCTATGATAGGTATTCTATCTATAAAACTAGAATGGAACTACTTTTAAAATGATTATAACAAAATAAAAACAATTAACAATTAAACATTTATTTCGATTGATTAGGCACTTGATTTTAATTTATATTATTTATATACAATCTGCAGAAACGTTCTAAAGTGATTCACCAAGCATATCACCTGTGTTAAAAAAAAAAATAATTATTGGTTTGTTAAAATTCTGACTTTTAGAGTTTTTAACACTATACTTATCTACTTTTAACCATATTTTCAAATATCTAGCAAGATTTATTTTAAAATGTATGAAGCGTCATGTAGCCATACCAACTTCTTCTTTAAAATGAGTGCTTGAGTATTGTTTGAAAAACAAATTTTTACTAACAGGACACTTCTTTAACTACATACAAGTGTTATGAATAATACAGCTGTATGAAATGATAATTATAAATCGTGTTTATTAATCGTTTGTTATTTTAGATTTTTAGCAATGTAAAAGATTTATTGAGTTTGCGAATTGCTTATTTTTTTATTTGTACTTATGTAACGTATGCATAAACTGTATACAATTATGAAGTAGATAGATTTTTGGTATTTGATTTATTTTACATTTGTACAAAGGTCCAATGATACTTAACAATTAAATTCACTGAATCTGTCCATGAATACGTGCAAAATCAATACAATTTTTAATTATGATATAGACGCAAGCGTGCCCAATGCTCATATAATGTAACGATGATGTAATGAATGAAGTCATTACTATAAGCTACACTTTTTAAATAATGCATATACACGAAGAAAAGTTGTGTGAACACATACGATATAGATATTTCCGTGACTATAAACTCTTGAGAATAAAATAATTGTACTCGAGATAAGGTATCCGGTTGAGTTCCCAAAATATGGAACATATACCGTTGTATTTGAATGGTCTTTTAATTAGATATTTTTGATCTTTATTGTACTCCGTTGATTATATTTTATTACTAACTGTATAATTTATCTAGACACTCAAAACTTATAAGCAACTAATTGATTAGAATTGAAGGTTAAATTTGTTTGGCGTTATGTTGTTTATTGGTTGATTTGTGCTTTTCAAATCAAATAGTAACCAACACTGCAGAAGTGAAGAATAATTCTGAACCAGTCTTAATATTTTGTATGATCAAACAAAATACCCATACGAACAAAAAATATTTAAAACCGAGAAAGTAAAAATTATTATTGATTTTTTTTAATCATTATTCAAGTAGGTACTAAGATACTCTATTTATTGTCGACGTAATACGCCGGCAGTGTCATCGATAACACGAAATAAAAAAGGTACTCTATTTATATTATCTTTGTAGGTATAAATAGAGATGTCACAGCGGTTTATAGCATACACTAATAAGGTATAGATAAAGTATGGTTTAAACGATACAAACGGATTAAAGGTTTTAGAGACCTTCGTGTTTCATCACGTTATAAATATGTCGATGAACAATCCTATACCTATCCTGTGAATGATCCGATAAAGCATAATATGACTAAACGCACATCAAGAAATCAATAGTTACCTACAACTCTTCTATTTATTTATCATCGAATCTAATCGAAAAGGCAGTCGGATAAAATCTAGGTGTGATGATATCAATAAATTATTGCCTTTACGTTGTCTGGGACAAAACCCTAATACCTACATATAGGCTATAAAGTTATATAAATATATAGTCCTTCATATAATACAATATACGTTGGAACGTGAATATTACACCTACTTAAATTTTGGCTACAACTCGTTTGCACACATTTACCTTTTTTTAAAACTCGTTTGTTAAAAAAAAAAACCACAGCTCGATTGTGCACACATATTTTGGCGACCTGTGACAGTCTCGCCCCAGTATTGAAAACCCGTTTGTGCACTCATTTTCCTTTTCACTTCAGCAGGCTTATGATGATTGTCTGGCGTCAAACAGGCGTGTTTTAATGAAGTTTCGTTACTCAAATCTTCATAGTATCGTTACAGTATCGTCATATAAAAAATAAACTACATTTAATTTCGTAGAAATTTGTATTGTTTTTAATTAAATTTGTTTAATGGGAATTGGTTTCCAATTTCTTTTTATTTCAGTTAAGCGATCGATAGTTTTATTTTTATATTTATTTCACATACCTCAGTATTCTTCCTCTCAAATCCAAAACGATGTGATTTGCACAAATGATTATAATATAGTGCTATCGAATACATTTCGATGATTTGTACGGCTATCTGCGACGATATCATACGACATGATATAGGTTACGAGTCATCCGGTTTTGGGTTAACCGAATGGATTTCATCGTGCTCAGACAATTCGTCGATTTCCACTTAAGAAATTTTGAATATGCGCAAACGACTTGTAGCGCATATTTGTTTTATTCGTTCCGTCAGTGATTATCAACTGTTATTGCAACCGGTTGCGACGTCGCGCGGCTGGGCCGATAACGTACATTAGTTACTGTTGATGCTCAGTCCCGTCAAACCGTGTGCGCGACGAGCACGTATTTACGTTTAAGCTCGTTTTTAGCTCACTCGCCGATTTTACCAGACAATCGCAATTGCATTACCATCATTGAGCTACTTAGTGTCTAATACCTTTCATAAATTGTACAATACAAAACCCAAACAGTATCGTTCGCACACCGATTCAAATGGAATTATCCGGTATGGACCGATTTTGCGGATCGACTTTTTGGGTAAGTCTCAGATTTTTTAGCTGATTTTTCGTAGTCGTCTTATTATAAAAATATGAAGATAAAATATTATATTATTTATGATTAAAATACAATATCACCAGTCGATACCAATATTATTGAATCTTTGATTTCGTATTTGTAGGACTGGAACTTGTCCTGGAACACCACCGATCCTGAGATCACGCCGTGTTTTGAAAAGACCATTCTAGTCTGGGCACCGTGCCTGTTTTTGTGGCTTTTCTCTCCGCTAGAGATCTATTACTTGGTGAATAGCAAATACAGAGACATACCGTGGAACTGTCTCAATATGGGGAAAGTGGTATGTTTTATTTTTATTTAGAGTTTTAAGTTTTTATAACCCAGTTTAGGCGTTTAATTTGGATGTATTAGGAAAAACGAATAGGTATTTTATTCAAATTTGTTCAATATGAAACACGAGGAAACATTGTTCAAAAAACATTTCAAGTTATAGTTTCTGACGTTATTTAAATTATAATGACGTATTAAACTTAAGCTTCAGCGTTTAATTTGGATATTCTACCAAATATGAATATTTAATATTTTGATTATTCATACAGTTATAATCATCATAAAATGAAATGAATTCTATATATAATATCTCCAAAATGGTTCAATAATTATACCCACGTAGGTAGTTGTGAAAATAAACATATCATTTTACATTTTTCGAAGTAGAATGTGTTATGCGAATAATATTTATAATGTGAATTTATTTTTAGTTGATTTACATGCGAGTATACAATTAAATGAATGTAAGTATTATATTTTACTTTAATTAGTATACTTATACATCTACTTTTAAATATTTTATTTCTATAAAGAGGAATTCAATTATAACATTTATAAGAGAAAATTGCCTAAATATTATTGACGACTGTCCCAAGGGCCACTCAGTTCTTCATTGTATAATATTTTTGTATACGTTATTAAGGCATTTTTCACATTTTATTTAATATGAAGCCCAAAAGGAAAGACTGTTCATAAAACATTAAAGGATATAGTTCTTGAAGATATCTGAGTTTTGTATTGTCTTGTAAATAATACATTTATGAAAACAATAAATTTAAACTTAATTTTGAGAATAAATAAAAATCATAAAATGTAAATTCTAAAAAAAAAAATAATATTATATTGTATTTAAACAAAACACAAACTTTTATACCGAGTCATGTAAAAATTAAGTTTTTTCATAAGCTCTTGAAATATAACATTTTTAGTTTTTAGTAGAAGTAGATATTACTTTAAAATTTCATAATAAATGTTCGTCATTTTTATTGCTTAAGATAAAATATTATTGACTAGTGTAATGAGTAATATTATTATATTTAAACAATTATTTTAGATACTGAGCGGAGCAATAAATGTATTGATTTTATGATGTATGTTTTTTAAAAAAAATTGTGATTATGCCCTCGAAAATAATAGTCGAAAAATGCATATGTAAGACAGTGATAAAATTGTGATGAATAATAACTTAGAGATAAGGTTTTTTTATAATTAATAAATAAAATGTTATAGGTACAAAATGCAAAAGAAAAACATAAATAAAGTGTGATTATATGGAATTCGTATATACTTCAATTTATGTATTTGCGCGCAATGTTGCATATTTGCAACAATCTGAAAAACTTGGTTTTCCTAGAAAATATAATTGCTAGAATTTATGAAGTATTTTTTCTGTTTTCTATGTATAAAAACACCTTAGGTCAATTTTTTTTCAATTCAGAAAATCGAGCATTGAAGGTTTAATTTTAAAATTTGGGGATGGTTTCTGGTAAAAAATTGGATCTCAGAAGTAAAAATTTAAAATTCCTTGTTATTTTGAAAAGCGCCGGAAAAACAAAAACATAAAAATAAGAAAAAACTGGAATTTTTACTCAAAACTAATTTTTTCAAATTTTTTTTGGTGTGACTCAAAAATGAATAACCGAAAATACTTTAAATTTTTACCAAAAGTCCATTTTACAATTTTCATTGCATTAAAAAAAAAATCAAAAAATGTTTCTTATTTTCAATTATTAGTTGAAACTTTAAATTTTATTCTATAAATATCGATAACATTTTTTTTTGCTCCGTAAAAAAGCTTAATACATAATTCAAAACAAGATTCTACATTAGTTGTAATAATATCAGCTTTAAAATATAAATGATACAATAGTAAGTTGTATTTTTGTAAAATCATTTTGAGTTAAAGTCATATAATGTTAACAGAATTCAACCAAACCACGAAAATTTGCAAACTATTTTGTAGTTAAAGCATTATAAAATATTTAATTTTAAGCCTTAGTATTGGAAATTTAAAACAAGGATTCTCATAAGTAGTTCATATTGTAACCATTGAATCTATGATTTTGGAATTTTTTTTCTTTAACTTAAAGGTCGTGTCTTTTAAACCACAGTAAATGACTGACTAAAGGTTGAGTAAAAGTATTCAAATACTTTTTAAATACTCAAATATTGATTTTCAAATATTTAATATTCTTTGTAATTTAAATATTTTTCAATTTAATTTTAATTTTAATCACGTAAAATAAAAAAAAAGTAAAATTTAGAATTAAAAATAATATTTATTTATTTACTATGAATTATAAACAACTCAAAAATCAAATATTTTGACAAATGAAGTAGAAGAGTTTTTTGTAGTTAAACTAAATGATAAGTTGTGAAATGCTTTATAAAATTAACGTAAAATATGAAAACCGGCTTATTTAATTTATAAGATAAACAAATTTAAAAGTATTAACAAATAATTTTTTATCGAGTATTCAAAAAAATCTACTAAACTATTATATCAGTAGTTGCAATCGACATTTCGAGACCTAGGTCCATCACTGATATAGGTGTATTATTATAAAATGATTATAAGTATGTTACCTAACTATTTTTAGTTTGTAATTTATTTTATTATAATTAAATATTTTTTGATATTTTAATATATTATCTGTTTATTTATTTCACAGGCTGGTGTATTTATATTATGTATCATATCAGTAATCGATATCGTATATGCAATAATTCGATATTCATCAGGGATGGATGTGTTTAGTGTAGATATTTACACACCACTTGTAAAACTAATAACATTTGTAAGTATATTGATTGTGACCTATTTTTGTACTTTTTGTACTTACATCACATCAAATCTTTATAAAAAATATTTTAGTGGACATCAATGTTTTCTTTAGAGTTAAATTAAACTAAACTTGGTTAGAAAATATGAACATAATTTTATTGTAAGTCATTCAAATTAATTCACTCACATGCGTAGGTACTAGGTATATATTTGTATTGGATATGAGAGAAACTGATGATTTTGGTTTATGATTCAAATATAGCATAGTCTTCCATAACTCATAAGATAAATTACCATCTTGTTGTACCTATTAAGTTTATGTACTTATTCACAGGGATTTGTCACAGCATTAATTACTGTTAATCGAGCAAGAGGATTAAGGTCGTCTGGTTTAATATTTCTGTTTTGGTTATCCATGGCATTCTGTGGGATGATTCAATATCGAACGGAACTCCGATTAGCATTTAACGATGTAAGATAATTTATTATCAATACTTGTATATTATATAAAGCACAAGTGACCAGTGTTGGGTAAATTACTTTTAAAAAGTAATAACATTACGTTACTCGTTTCTTTAAATATTTTTATTTAAATTACATTCGAAAATAAAAATAATTAATTTTTAATTTTCTGGAATATCATATATTGGTTCGTTTTTGTAATATAATCAAAACTATTATTTTAATAACGTGGAAAACACGAGTTAGTGCGTTACCTCTTAGAAATTACTTTTTAAAAGTAATTTTGTTACAATTGCGTTACTTTAAGTGAACTGTAATTAAATAACTGCTTCATTAAAAGTAAAAAAAGCATAAAATAAAAAAGCAAAAAGTAATTGCGTTAAAGTAATTTGTAATTTTCGTTTCTACCCAACACACCTGCAGGTGACAGTATAGAATATAATATTTTTTCTTATGTTTAGATTCCATTATATGATTATCCATTTACTAGTTACATGGTGTATTACCCTATCATCTTAATAGAGTTTGTTCTAAGTTTCTTCGCCGATGCTGCTCCTAGGCTATCTGACTATGGATCCGTCCAGGTAAAATTTTCAATCATACCCCATATTTTTTATTAATTGTTCAGTTTAAATGTTTAATATACTGTTAATCGATTCGTAGGTACCGTGTCCTGAGATGAAAGCATCATTCCCATCGAAGTTATTATATTTATGGTTTGACTCATTTGCTTGGTCTGGTTATAAACGCCCCATAGAGTCCTACGATTTATGGAATATGAACCACGATGATACTTCACAAGAAGTAGTTTCAGTCTTTGATAAACATTGGGAACGTTCATTAGTAAAAGCGAAGTAAGTACTAAAGATTTATTAGGAATTATCATGATTTCCATCAATGAAAATATTATTAAGTAGATACCTAAAACTATTATACTTGAAACAAATGAATACTGGAATTTCGATAACAATAAGCAGATCATTGATTCGTAGTACGAAAAATCCTAAAACCTCGTTATGCCTTACTAAAATGTTTAACCAATGTCATGTAAATATTATTTTTATCATTAAAATTAATACATATTTTTGTAACAAATAATATTAAATACATTTTACAGATTACAAAATAGTAAAAAAGTGTTTTCCGTTAAAAATAAACCTGATGTGAGTATAATCGAATTACCACTTGCAAAAGAATCACATCAAAACCAGTACAAAGTATCAATTCTTCCTGTTTTGTGTAAATCATTTGGGAGTACATTTTTGTTTGGATCATTTTTAAAATTAATTGTGGATTGTTTAACGTTTATCAGCCCTCAAGTACTTAGGTAAGTATTTAATTAGTATAAACATATTATTTAATATTATAGTTTCCACAGAAAGTTATAATTGAGCATTTTTAAGGTATTTGATAAATTTTGTTGGAGATTCCACTGAGCCATTGTGGAGAGGTTATTTTTATATTTTTCTGATGATGGCTACAGCGATGTTGCAAACATTATTATTATCTCAGTACTTTCATCGTATGTATCTCGTTGGTATGCGTATTCGTACTGCACTTACTTCTGCCATTTATCGAAAAGTAAGCATTTAAGGAGTGACCATTTACAGTTGATATAGTTCATAATAATAGTATTCAATTTAATTATTTATACATTTTTCAAAGACTTTAAGGATTTCAAACACAGCAAGAAAATCATTCACAACGGGTGAAATAGTTAATTTGATGTCAGTAGACGCGCATAGATTTACTGATCTGATTACTTATTTGAATATGATTTGGTCGGCACCATTCCAAATTGCTCTGGCAGTGTACTTTTTGTGGCAGATATTAGGACCCAGTGTACTTGCTGGTCTATTTGTGATGATAGTATTAATACCAGTAAACGGTGCTGTAGCTACTAGATCAATAAATCTGCAGGTCAAACAAATGAAAAACAAGGATGAAAGAGCTAAATTAATGAATGAAATTTTGTCCGGAATAAAAGTAATGTTATTTTGAATTTGAACACAATTATAAACATGATACACTTTTATATATTCATTGAACAGGTTCTAAAATTATATGCTTGGGAACCAAGTTTTGAACAAAAAGTGTTAGATATAAGAGGAAAAGAAATCAATGTTCTTCGCAGCGCTGCTTATTTGACTGCAGCTACTTCATTTATTTGGTCTTGTGCACCATTCCTGGTATGACATTTTATTTATATACTTTTATATACTTTTTATACTATACTTTTTATACTGCACTGTTATCAATTTGTCACATGTTTATCTAAAAAATAAGAATAACAACAAAAAAATTAAAATTGCACAAATGTCTATTACAAATTACAATAATCTAAAATACAACGATTATTGAATCTTTTTAAGACAAATTATCTCTTTAAATTTGCCATACAACAACCTTGTGTTTGTTTAGTTAAAGATAAGATTAGAATGTGTGTTTCATTGAGGATCGATAAAAATATTCATATTTAAGATGTTAGAATATTTTTAAAATTATAGAATTTAGTCAATATGATAAATTTTATTTAATACCAATTGAGATCTAATTGAATACATAAACGAGACATTGGAATCTTTTTAATTCTATTGCTCAGACCTAATTTTATTATGATTCAATAAAACTAAATCAACTTCTATAACCAAGTGGACTAATGTCAAATGTACAAACTATTAAGCATAACATTTTAATGAACGAATTAGCACAAATCGTATGATTTTTGAATGTACATATGTAGATATAATTACCCATACTTCAATCTTTAAGTATCCTCACCTTCCCTTATTAACGTACTTGATAATAATTATAATACTGTGATATATTTATATGTTTGTGTTTTATCTATCTATTAATTATTAAATATGTGGTATTTTATTATATTTAGGTATCGTTAGTAACTTTTGCAGTTTATGTATTATCTGACGATAGCCATATATTAGATGCACAAACTGCTTTTGTTTCTTTATCTTTATTCAATATTTTACGTTTTCCAATATCCATGTTACCAATGTTGGTGTCAAATGTAGTTCAAGTAAGTTTTCAGTTTAGCATTGAATAAGTGAATAAATGACTATTGTTCGCATTAAACCCATATTACAATTTTATAGTCAAGTGTATCTGTAAAGCGAATAAATAAGTTTATGAACTCCGAAGAGTTGGATCCAGATTCGGTCACCCATAATTCTGATGAAAGTATGTAACGTTTTATTTTTTATTTGATATTAATGATTTTTCTATTTTGTTATATAATTTCCCGAATTAATTTTGGTTTTTAGAGGATCCTCTTGTTATTGAAAATGGTACATTCACGTGGGGTGAACTAAATGTTGCACCAACATTATCAAACATAAATTTACGAGTTTCATCAGGACAATTGGTCGCTGTAGTGGGCACGGTTGGTTCTGGGAAGAGTTCTTTAGTGTCGGCTTTTCTTGGTGAAATGGATAAAGTTTCTGGCAGAGTTAACACTAAAGTTAGTGTACAATTGTTAATTAAAGTAATAATTTGTTTAACTTGAATAAAAATAAAAATAAATTATTTTTTAGGGATCCATAGCATATGTACCACAGCAAGCTTGGATACAGAATACATCACTTAAGGATAATATATTGTTTGGTCAAACATTTAATGATAGAGTTTATAAAAAGGTCATTGATGCATGTGCATTAAAATCTGACTTCCAAATGCTTCCAGCTGGCGATGACACAGAAATTGGTGAAAAGGTACTTTTTTTTATTTAATACATATAAATACTATAATTGTTGTTGTTATCTTGATCAAATCGATAATGTTTAGGGAATTAATTTAAGTGGAGGCCAAAAACAGAGAGTAAGTTTAGCAAGAGCAGTTTATAAAGAGAGTGACATCTATTTTTTGGACGATCCACTGAGTGCTGTTGATTCACATGTTGGTAAACATATTTTTGAACACGTTATTGGACCCAAAGGGTTGTTGCAAAAAAAAGTAACAATATATTACATTAAATTAGAGTTATCTTGATATTTTAATATTTTAAATTATTATTTTTTATTTCAAAGACACGAATATTGGTCACTCATGGTATAACATATCTCAGAGAAGTCGATTTGATTGTGGTAATGAAAGATGGTCAAATATCAGAGTCAGGCACATATAAAGGGTTGCTTGATAAAAAAGGAGACTTTGCTGATTTCTTATTATCACACATGCAAGAACAAAATGAACATGAAGTTGATGAAATAGGTAAAATAAATGCAGCTTAGGCAGCTTTTTGTAAAGGTACTTATTAAAATTAATTTGTTTAGAAATTAATAAGTTATTAGAAGACGCACCTGCAGATTTAAAAGAGAAATATATTCGCCAGAGAAGTGAAACGAATTCAAATTCGTCAATGCAAAGGTAATACAAATGACAATAAAAATAACTAACTCATTAAAGGTAATTTATAAAAATATTTAGGCAAATATCTGTTGATTCTAATAAATCGATTTCTCGACCTGCTGTGGAACAGAAAGCCAAACTTATTGAAGTAGAGAAAGCGGAAACCGGAAATGTATGTGTGGACTTAAGAATAAATGTATAAATCAAATATGTAATAATTTATTTATAATAACTTTTTTTAAATTTTAGGTGAAATTGGATATTTACATTCAGTATATTAAGTCAGTTGGACCTATTTTTTGCATAATGTCAGTTTTACTAAGTTGTCTATACCAAGGATTTTCTATTTCATCGAACATCTGGCTTTCTATATGGTCTAATGATGATAGTTCACTTACTCTTGAAACAGAAAATGATAGTAACAGATTTATGCACTTAACAGTTTACGGACTGCTTGGCGTTGGTCAAGGTAAATTAAAACATTACAATTTTAAAAGTATACATTTTTAAACTATGAATGTAATTTTTAATTGAATATTAAGTTTCTAGACTAGATTTAACGTTATCTATTAATTTCTATATTTTTGAGCGTTTATGGTTATAACATTTTTTAAATTTTAACAATACATATTTTATTGAGAATTTTTAAGATAGTACATATATACTATGTATATTATATAATATTACATATACGCGAGTGGTATTATATCAGTTTATAATGCATAATATACAATTTTTCGGTACCAACTTGGCTACTGACGTATACTTTTTGTGGGTTTAAATAATATTATCGTAACACGGCGTCTTGGATATGCAATTCAGATACACCTCAATCGCATATTTTTCACTAATTTAAAGAAATGTATGTTTTTTTGCTATTAAAAACAAAGCAAGTTTATGGTCTAATAGGGTCGTAGATACATCAATTCTTTTACCATAAACTACCTATACAAAGTTAGTACCTACATAATTATTATCTATAGTACAAATGTTTCTAATATGATATAAAATATATTTTGTACTTTTTTTTGTGTATTTTCAGTATGTTTATTTATTATATTATTATTGCTCTTTAAAATTATTGACTAAACCTAATGATATAACTATTTTTTTAATCTAATCTTTCATCTTTGTTTCTATGATAAATAAAAATGTTTTTTTTTAGTTTTTTCAACGGTAGCAGCATCAATAACTTTATCTTTGGGCACAATATTTGCTGCTGAAAAGTTATTCGAATTGATAAACTCACGGATTTTCAAGAATCCACTAAGCCTGTTTGATACAACACCAATAGGACGAATATTGAACAGAGTATCTAAGGACATTGATACCATTGATAATGTATTGCCATTAATGATAGCAACATTTATACAAGTTGCAGTTTCGGTAAATTTGGATTTCAATTTTAAACACATAATGTAGATCAGATATGTTTAGTTTTTAGCTCGTATATCGTTTCAAGTCTAAACTATTTTAAACTTTCTTGTTAATGGATAAAGGCATAATTTATTTTACTATACTAGACAAATATTGCAGGAATATTCATAAAAGTGTTGGGTAAAAATAAAACCATGTAAATAATTCAGTAAAATAATGAATACCTTTGAAGAAAATGTGTGCATCGATTGAATTATAAAATGTTGATAGGTATTATGTGTCATTTTAAATTTAAATAATTCTAAGAAGATTATAAAATTGATATTAATTTTAGATAATATATATAATTTATAATTTTAATATATCTGTATATTTTTAAACTTTATATCAGCGTTTCTCAAAGTGTGGGTTGGGAACAATTTTTTGAATTATATAGATTCCAAGAAATGTATGTTAGTTACCTCATTATAAAAAGTACATTTTAATTATATTAATTATATTTTTATTCATTTTAATTATAAACCTATAAAAAAACTAAATACCTTTTAAAAATGTATACATGTTTATATAATACAAATTTTGTTTTCCAAAAATTGTAGAAAAGTGAAGGATTTTTCGGGAGAAATTTTGGTTCAGGTATTAAAAATATTGAGAACTACTGCTCTTTGTCATAATTTCTATTTTTAGAGAATTACATAGTAAGACACTTTATATATACATAGGAACTCAACTCAGTTTATAACATACGACCTTTCGGCTTTCATAAGTTGGGATACGTATTAGCTGTTTAACACGTAAAATTATTTACAAGAAAATCTTATAGGGAATTATATTGATTTAGTTATGACATTTGATTATTTGAGTGATGAATTCAGCAATTAATCAACTTTTGCTCAAATTTAATCTTCGTTAATAATTTATATACAAGTTTTATACGAGATATAACATTTAATGAAATGTAAATTGATGTAGATATTATAGAACATTTTTACTTCAAATATAAACGTAAGAAAAAAAAATTAAATAATTATAATTATAATTCTTCTGTTTCAGGTCATTGGTACTTTGATCGTTATCAGTTATAGTACACCCATATTTGCAGCGGTGATTATTCCTCTTGCTATAATTTATTGCATCATACAGGTGACTCATTAATATTATAATAATATTTTTCAAATTGTTGATGATTATTTTAGGATTTAACTGATATTTTTAATTTTATTTACAGAGATTTTACGTTGCGACATCGCGTCAGCTGAAACGACTCGAGTCCATATCACGTTCCCCAATTTATTCGTATTTTAGCGAAACAATTACAGGGGCTACATCGATTCGTGCTTATGGAGCAGAATCCAAATTTACACTTCAATCCGAACAAATAGTAGATTTCAATCAGTCTTGTTATTATCCAAATATCGTGGCCAATAGGTATAAATTTATTTTTAATAATCATTTATCACATAACTTACATACAGTATATTATTGATATTGTTTTATTTTAGATGGCTAGCTGTAAGGTTAGAAACAATTGGAAATTTTATTATTTTCTTCTCGTCGCTGTTCTCAGTATTGGGAAGGGATACGTTAAGTCCTGGTATTGTTGGTTTGTCCATCGGATATGCTCTACAGGTACGCATTATAATATATTTTAAAAAATAAAAAGGTTTCTTCAAAATAATTTTGTTTTATTAAGATCACACAAACACTCAATTGGATGGTTAGAATGACTTCTGATGTCGAAACTAATATTGTAGCCGTTGAACGAGTCAAGGAATATGGAGAAACACCTCAAGTAATATCTTATAAAATATAATTTATTTGTTTAATCATACATAAAAATGTATTTTTAATTTTTAGGAAGCCCCATGGGAAATACCTTCAACGCAGCCCCCCAGAGAATGGCCAACTAGCGGCGAAGTTCAATTTAAGAATCTTAAAGTTCGTTATCGTGAAGGTTTAGATTTAGTACTGAAAGGTTTAGATTTAATAGTGGAAGGTGGCCAAAAGGTAATTATAAGAAATGTGCCTCTAACATCACGTTACTAACTGGAAAAATGTAGGTGGGGATTGTAGGACGTACAGGAGCTGGAAAATCGTCTTTGACTCTTAGTTTGTTCCGTATCGTCGAAGCTGCCGAAGGATCAATTCTTATCGATGGCGTTGACATATCAAAAATTGGATTGCATACGTTGCGTAACCGCCTCACAATTATTCCACAGGTAATCAGACATTATCTATTGGTTGAGTAAATATACCTAATAAACTAAATTTTTTCGATAGGATCCAGTATTGTTTTCTGGTACATTAAGAATGAATTTGGATCCAACCAATAGTAATACTGACGCACAGCTGTGGAGCGCCTTAACACTTGCCCATTTAAAAGCTTATGTAGTAGGACTGGCCAGTGGTTTGGATCATGAAGTGTCTGAAGGAGGAGAAAATCTGAGGTAACTATGAACAATAGTCAATATAATCATTTCTTTCGAATTAAAAATATATAGACCTTATTTACAAATTATAACAATCAATTGTTGGGAACGTCATCCGACGTTTTGAATTTTCTTCCTTAAACTAATGAACGGGATGCTTATAATGTTAAACCGATGTCATTTGCACTTATGTTTAATTGTATTTTACTAACATTCATACAGATTAAACTGTAAAAAGTTCATGAAATTTAAATATTGTTCATTGTATTCATATCAATGTTAAGACTAGACAATTTATTATTATTTTCTATGTTATCATTAACTATTGTGTTTCAGCGTGGGCCAAAGACAATTGGTATGTTTGGCTAGAGCATTGTTAAAGAAGACAAAAATATTAGTGTTGGACGAAGCGACAGCGGCAGTCGATTTGGAAACAGACGATCTCATACAAAATACCATTCGAACAGAATTCAAAGACTGCACTGTGTTGACGATCGCCCATCGACTGAACACTATAATGGATTCTGACAAGTACTAAACAAAAAACGTTTAATTGAGATTTTGAGTTTAATTAATATTTTGAATTCGTTGCTTCCGTGTAGAGTAATTGTTTTGGACAATGGTTTCATGATCGAATACGACTCACCTGCCAATCTGCTGAAAGACAAATCTTCGGTTTTCTATTCGATGGCAAAGGACGCAGGTCTTGCACAATGACGATGATGTTCGGACGATGGTGCAGCACTTAGGTTTTCATTTCCTTAACTTGATTTTACTAATAAATATCGACAGATAATAATTTTATTCAACTGTCACATATCATTTTTGTCGAGCAATCGTAAATAATAATTATTTCGGACGACGTTTCCACGTTACCCGCACTGCAGGGTGAGGCGTGCGCTATCGAATTCCGTCTTTGTTATACCGATTTCGCGTAACGCATCGACCTGACATTTTTGTTTGTTTTACATAGTTTAAAGATTTTGTTTTATTATTTCTAGCCATAGAAAGTTGTACATCGAATAAATAGTATTATAATTTATTAAAATTGGAATAGGTACATTTTACGTTCTGTTTTATGTGAACAAATTGTTTTCCTGATTTAATTTTTGTTTGTTTTAATTTTCCTTAATAAACCATCCACGTCGTATAGCTAAATAGCATTTAATACTTACGTTGTTTTAAGTAATACGTATAATATTATGTAAAAATGTATTGTTAGTTATTCCTTGTACTGGGTGTACAAAAAATAGTTGTGGGCCTATAGTATTATTATATTTTACGACCGGTTCAACATAATATTCTGTTCTGTGTTGTACGTTTTTATTGACAATGACTGATATTTTTATATCATTAAATAAAATACAAATATACATATATATTATCATATTTTGTGTAAATAAATAAATTTTTTATTATTTAAAAAAATAAACAATTGTGCCAAAAAGTTCGTTTTTAAACATTTTTTTATTATAATCGTGTTGACGTGGCCTTGCCATTTTGTGCGATCGACGCTTGTTCACCGGATACAGTTCCGCTTGTTGTTGATCAGTTGAATGGCCTGTCGGACCTCGGTGACCGCCGCCTCGCAGTCCATGAACGGCAACCATCTCAGCCAGGAGTACGAGCAGTATCCTTCCGTGTTTTCGCGGCTCGTCGGCAGGTCCTTGACCGCGTACTCGACGGCTGCCTTCCGCGCGTCCTGCTGCACCTTCGGCGATTCCAAGGCCGCTGCCAGCATTGCCTTGTCGTTGTCCGAACGGCCCTGCAATCCAGCCACGCTGTACAGCAGCCCTGCCGGAAATCCTTTGGCGTTGGCCTGCACTAACGCATCACCCAGGTTGCTGACGCCGGCCACCTGTGGGATGAACCAAAGGGAATGGAAAACACATTTAATGGGGTGTTTGGTAAAATGTAGTTTTCAATAGTGTGCGATGTGGGTGGTTGTCTAGGTCGAAAGGAATGATATGGAAGCGATCAACAGCGAATTATAGTGCATACACCGGACATGGTATGACGCGTACAAAAAAAGTTTTTAGGGGACTTTGAACATTTTTTTGACAAAAATAATACAAGAGACAGCGTTCAATGTCTGGTGAACATACAATAATTATTACTTGGTAGTTAGATCTGACTACGGTATCGAGAGCAACAAACTAGTTGTACAAAAAGGTATAAAAAAGCATACGAATTATAGTTCGCAAAAATTCGTCAAAAAATCAGACGTAATGAGGTAATAGGGTATTGTTTTTATGACCGAACAATGATGGCTTATTGTCATCGTATCGTTATAATAATATTGTTTATATTGTTTATAATAATATGCACTTCGGTACTCCCGTCTTCCCCACATACTGCAGGTGCGCTAAAACACCGAAGACCTGTTCATTAAGTATTTCGGTGAGTTGAGATATTTCTCGCCTTTCCCTAACGCCCACGAGCACTTAAACATTGTTTGATTATTTAAGCGGTCTAAACGCCCACGCTCGTAAACGACGAAGGTTGTAGACAATATTAATTTAGAATAATAATAACAAAAGTTATACGCATATATATGATACTACACTTGGGTGATGGAATTTTAATGATTTACAAATATTGTCATTTTGTCGACATCATACTACAACAGCGACAACAATAATAATAGGTAATAATATTTTGAATTATAATACTCGTGTTTTACCATCTGGTGTTTCAGGAAACGTGTTTTTTTGTTTTCTTTACATTCGTATGTGTAATATATTGTCGGTACTTAAATGATAATTTCGAGTGTACGATAATTCCGGAAACTACAATGGTTATTAAGCGAAAACACATAAATTGTGAGCAATATTAATTGATAATCGCAGTGATATTACAAATAAGTTATAAAATATCCTTAGAAAATAATATGAAAGCCGACACACCACCTCCGCTCAGAATCTGAATCATATGTACTCAAATTTCATACATCAATTGCAGTGACGTGGTCTGAGGAACACTCAAAGCTGTGTGGTAGGAGATAAGCTCTCGGGATTTTCTGTTTTCCCGAATGTTGTGTTGTCTACACGTGGTTTTTCAGGCGTTATTTTTATTTGTAATTTGAT